TAATCGCAATCCGCGTATCATCTCACGTTCGCTTAACATTTCTCCTCATGTCTGTGCCGGTACTCGCTCACGAAGAAACGAGGAAATTGGTATGTACAATTTCCCGAAATTTCTCCCACGAAAGTGTGCAACGATGAAGAGGAAGGTCCGCTTTTCCAGTAATTTTAGTACACCAACGAAAACAGATTCAAAATCGGGATATCTCGTTTTCGAAGTGCTATCAATTTATAATCAACTAATATCGGTAGTAATAAAATTTTACTCTCCCGCGATAAAATGAAATTGTAGCGACAACTTTTGTATTAGGTTGTCCGAAAAGTGTCTTTCTTTTACAGACACGTCTTTTACAACGATGCGTCTTTGTACAAACACGAAACCTAATCTGACGTTGTGATCCTTATTTTGATAGAACAAAATGGACCATACGTAATTCGATAAAATAATATAAAACGGAAAATATTGTGCATCCATTATTTCCTTATAAAACGAAAGAAAGTTTTCGGACCACCTAATAAATTCAATTGTTCGATTTTGCGTACTTCTGATCAGATTTTATCGCGTTGTATCCCCTACCTCGTATCTGCATAAGAATAGAAAGTTTTAGGGCGGTTTTATAGTTGCCAGACGCGGCGTATTTTTTCTTTCTTAGCATACTCTTCTTCTGCTTTCCTTTTTTCGTTTCTTGAATGACGAAGAAGGGGAGAGAGACCGAAACTCGCTAAACTCGACGTGTATTTTTAGCAATGGAATTGCCGGGTCGGCGATATGCGCGTTCAACATGTCCGCGATCACCGCGAGCTTCAACGGACCTTTCAAGCACCAAGAGAATTCGGGCGCTGCCTGGGAAAGGAGGCCGTCTCATCACAATCGTCAAAGATGTGGTTCAAACGCGAACGTCGCTCCTCATCAGATCATAGACAATCAGAGGTACCAGCTGATGGATGACGCGATCCAAAGCACGACGCTGGAGCCATTGCATACCGCTTTACTCGAGAGATTCACCTTGATCGCTCTCGATGTCACGCCAACTAAATTGCACCGCGGTGTCACCGTGCTGTATGTGGCTACTGATGTTGGTTTGATCAAGAAGATCTCAGTTTTACCGCGCACGCAGGAAACTTGTATCGTAGAAGTTTGGGGTCCCTTACCATCTACGCCGATGATCATGCAGTTCTTGAAGGACACGCAGAGTCTGTATGTTGGTACAGAACTCGGTCTATCGAGGTACGCGGTTTGACACAGATTCAAGATAATAATATGCGTCGTTGGGCCCACATTGGTCAGATTCTGTTCGAGAACAAAAGGAATATCGCATTTACAGAATACCCGCTGCCCAGTGCCATAGGCATCGAAGTCGCCAGGCTTGTCTCAATGCTCAGGAGCCATATTGCGGTTGGAACGAACATCTGATGAAATGCGCTCCGGCCCCGAAGCAAAACCATCTTGCCAATCACTGGCATCAAGAAGTCACCAAGTGTCCTGTTCTCACAGATCCTGTGGACGGTGGCTGGAGTGCCTGGAGCTCTTGGTCTCCGTGTCAACACGGCACCACGGATCATGGGCATTCTCATTCGCATGCGCATTTGCACCTCCATGCCGAGACGGTAAGTCAGTGGCACGTTGTCGTTCATGTCGGCGTAATGCACAAATAGATGGCGATAAATCAAAAGCGAATCCTTGCTTTCACCAGGGCTCAGACACTTGTCAATGCCAGACACGAGATTGCAATAACCCGCCTCCGCAGCATGGCGGAGCAACTTGTTCAGGAGCTAAAGTGAGAGTAACCAATTGTACGGTTCATGGCGATTGGACAGCTTGGTCATCCTGGTCAGCGTGCTCACAAACCTGCGGCTTCGCTATGAAAACACGACGACGCACGTGCACGAATCCGGCTCCGGCTTTTGGAGGGCGAGTGTGCGTTGGTCATGATCACGATGACACCGTCTGCATAAATCTTCCACCTTGTCCTACGCCAGCGAAGGTAGCACCGCCGCCACCACAGACGTTTGGTCAGTGGTCATCCTGGAGCGCTTGGAACGCTTGCTCTCGACCTTGCAACGGTGGTAAGCGTGATACGAAGATTTCACCAGCTCTTCTTCTTTAATAAGAATCTCTTGATAAATGATCTCTCGTCTCAATGACTTGTATCCTGTCTCCTAGTGATTGACTTTTAATCGTCTGTTTGACAGGAATACGGATACGAAGAAGAACGTGTGAGAGTCCATCATCGCGAAAACCTCCTACCGTCGAATGCAATGGATGCGACTTTCAAGTAAGAGCAGCACGCACTTGTAACAGCTTCGTGAAATTTCATTTATTCGAACGTGACTCCAATGAAACTCCATTTTATTTAATGCCCGATTAAACGAGCTCTACCGCCCATTGAGTTCATTTAAACGACTTTTAGACAGGATTTGTAATCGTTACACTTTTGCTATCGCGTTTCTCTCAAACAATATATCACCACAATCACGAGCTCGCGTTTTTATCTTCTACAGGTCGAGGAATGCAACTCTCATCAGTGCGTCGAAACGAAAAGATACTCCGGGTGGACCCCATGGCTAGCAGTTAATGGCAGTCTTCAAAGTACAAACATTGGTTACGTAGAAAAACGGTTTCGATTTAGTTGTCGTGCCCAAACTGACGATCCATCCAGCGTCAGGGTGCAACTAGCTAAAGAGGAAGAGCGCTATTGCAGAAACGACGGTTCCTGCCTAAGAGGAAACGCGAATCCAAATCCGTATGGGGATCTCGGAGCAGAAGCCGGCTGGGGAGAATGGTCCGCATGGCGGCCTTGTGATCGACCTTGTGGCGGAGGTTCTCAGCATAGAATGAGGCAATGTGAATCACCACCTTGCGAAGGTCCATCCGTGCAAAACAGGTTGTGCAATGTGCATCCATGTCGGTCGAACCAAGTTGGAATCGCAGGGGCTGGAGGCCAGTGGTCTTGTTGGACCGACTGGTCCGATTGTTCGGTATCGTGTGGCGTTGGCGTCCGTTCCAGAACAAGAGAATGTCTAGGACCGGAGGGTTGCGAAGGTCCAAGGCTAGTTAGAGAGACTTGCGAGATGCCCAGCTGCGAGTCTTTGGCCGGTTGGGATTCATGGTCACGTTGGACGCCTTGTGACGATGATCATCAACAACATAGGAAGAGACAGTGTCTTCAACATGGTAACGGGCTCTGTCAAGGATCCAGCAGAGAGGTGCGCGACTGTTTACCCGATTGCATGGACAATGGTGAGTATGGTCGAACGAAGTCTGACTTATTTAATTAAGATTACCTGTGGAGAACTTTTTCGCAGACGCTGAAGCAAAAATTACTATGTATGCTATATTTAAACGTAATTTTTCAGATATAAATGCCCTAAAATCAAGCGTAGAACGCTCGGGTGTATCTATCGGCGCGGTAGTGGGCAGTTGCGTAGCCGGATTCCTAGTTGGCTTGGCCGTGACCGCGGTCTTAAGCTTCTGTTACCTGAAGCGACGACAGCAACGAATTCCTGGTAGTCCTCACTATATCAGCAAACAAAACTCCTACGTCTCGGTTCCGTTGAAAGATGTGAGTCGACAGTCTAATCGCTATACTATGGATGGACGTATAATACATAAAAGAGATATAAAATATCAATAGTACTTTGTGTCTATGAGAAGTTTGCTAGGCAAAAGGATGCACATCCGATGGATTCTGCATCTTCCCATTTCTGCATAGTACTTGTTACAAGATTTAAGGAATGAAACGCGTATCTACTTAGGTTCCATTTTTTTAGTTATCTTTATTAAACTATGAATTTGAACATCTACAGTCCACTGAACCACGCATGTGTGATATTTTTTTACTAACACGAGGTCTTCTTTCGATCTAGGTAAACGCCAAACGACAGCCTAGTTTTTCCGGTAGTACAAATGGTAACGGAACTCTTCGTGGGAAGAACAATCCAAACGTGAACGGTCTCGGAAGTCCGAAACTGTATCCAAAGAGTCTGGACTACGAGTCTGCCACCTTGAAGCGCAATAGCCATGGCCAACAACACATTCGAGTCGACCCTGATCAAGACAAATACTACTGAACGGGCAGCGTGCAATTAGAAACGAACGAATTTATTTCACTGCCAGATGGCTTCTGCGTTGCGACTAAACGCGAAGACCTGACACGAACACCTACGACAAAGAGACATCGCCATGAAGGCGCACAGCGAGAACAGCGAGCAAGAAATAACGAACGCAACACGACGTGGCTATCATCCGTCTCTCCAACAATTTTGAGCTATGTATGCGAAGCAGTTTAAACGAAGGCAGCTTCCAAATGGACCAAGGAGAGATGCAAACGCGAACAGATCGCCTATACTAGAGATCCAGTGATATTCACCCCGTATTTACTTGTTTACTCAAAACTATAGAGACGATCTCCTCTGGTTTCGCGTTGAACGATTCAGTGCCATCGTTACGTCGCGAACGCGTGCATCGCTTCGTAATCTCGTCAAACATGAGCGACAAAGGACGAGCATAAACGTATCGAAACGTACCTAACTAAACGTGTGTGGATGTGAATATGAGCGCAGCTATGTGTGAGAGATCTTGAAAGAGAGAGAACAGGAGGGTGTGAACGGATGCGTATGTATGCATAAAGATTCGAGTCATGTGATTCGCATATTTTTTATTATTGGCTCACATTGAGTCGCGGTCACGCGTCGACTCGTACTCACGACAAACGATAGTCGAGGAGAGAAGAGGAAAAGGCAACGATCGTCCGTGGTATTGCGTATCGTGATTCGCCGCGAAAGACGATCGAGCTCACGGAAATCAAGATTTAGTCGTGGATTTGATTCGAATCGTTTCGGGTCGACGAGTTACGCGCGGCAAACGAGCGTACAAATGAACGACGTTCCGTGATCAAACGGACTTGAAACGCTTCACCTCGTGTAGTATCCATCACGCGACTGCAATAAAAGGAACGACAACGCCCGCAAAAATAGGGTCCTTGAGCGAATTCATTTCCCCTCCCCCCCGAACTTCCTTCTTCTTTTACTCTCTGCGGCGAATGAGGATGAACTTAGTCCGTTTACAAATCAACCGACAGCTTTTCTATCTTGTCGATCACGTAATCCATGGAAGCTTTGGTCGGTGGTGGTTGACAGGTGACGACCATGCGGAAAAAGTTGCCAATATTCTTGTACGATAGCGGCGTGTAGCCAACCATCAGCGTTCCCTCGATCATCATGCGTTCCTTGATTTTAGCTGTGATCTCGTACAATTTGTTCCACCATTCCTGAGTCTCCTGTTGACCTTGCATACTGGGTGGTATGTACCTGTTACGAATCGAAAGAAGGAAAGAATACGTAACACAAATATGAATTATGAACACAGAATTGAGGGGATACGACGATACACAAAGGAACGACGATACTCACCAAAAACAAATATTACAACCTTCGTACCGGGGAAGTACCAAACGAAATCCTTTCCGGCTTTTTACTCGTTCGAAAAAGTATTCCACCGTGGACATAGCGAGTTCCACGGATTCGCGAAGTCCTTTGGTCCCTCGTGCTTTCCACATCAGCCAAAATTTAGCTCCGTCGACCTACAACGAAGGGAATGTCACATACAGAAAATGACGATATGTATTATGGGCGTAATCAATGCAGAACGTTTACCTTTCTCCCACATTGCAAACTCTTATCACCGGTGTCCCAAGATACGTCATAATGTTTGTCCTGCTGGAACAAATACCGCGCTCCCGCGCAATTCGCTTCGTGCAGAGCGTTTTTACCCTTAACCAAGAACAGCGAGCATTGGAACGGTGCGCCAAGCATCTTGTGTGGATTCCACGCTACGGAATTCGAGCTGCATCGATCGAAATGCGTCATAATATATCACGATACATGGATCAGTGGTTAAGTAGAGACAAAACAATACATCAGCGAAGCAAGAAAGACAAAAAGATCGAGGACAATTACGTACAGTTCGATTCCTTTCAACCGGTCTCGATATTTCTCCGAAAGTAACAGCGTACCACCGAGACATGCCTGTAACACAGCGACAATCATGCGAATTACAATGGGAAACCTTTTTCATTTGCCGCTCGTTGCACTCATCATACTTGTACGGACGTCAACATGTAACCATAGATTCTCCTCGCGGCAGATGGCCGC